ATTGTCTTTGGTACTTCATTTACTTTCCAATTTATTTCTTGGGGTTGGTAATTAACAAAATTATTAATTTTTGGCTCACAAATAGTTAAAATTTCATGCAACGCTTTGTTCATGACGTCAGCAATTAATTGAGAACTTGTTGTTGAGTCTGAAATGATGTAGATCGGGTAAACATATCGACCACCAAATATTTCATTATTGTTACAAAATTGTGGGATGTAGTCCCAACATTCTGTCTATTTAGAAATGTACTGCACATAGATTTGGACATTTGGAGGACAACGTTTAAAATTTTCCAAATTAGGTTGTTGGAATAAAAACATCGAAAAGGCCATGACAAACACGTAAGTAGTCTTATCGTGCTTTTTGAAGTCAAATTCATTAAATTGTGAAATTGCATTACTATTACCGTATATATACACCTTCTTAAGTGTATTCAAACTCACCACTTTTAGCATTGTAAGAAAGTTTATAATCGAAGTGTAATCAATTATTAAAAATTGAAGTTGCTCTTATTGATCGATGTTGTGTGCAAGAGCTTCAATTTGCTGAGACTGAATTCGAAGTGTTCTGATTTTTGAAGGAAACCATTTTGTCTTTAATGTGTTAATTAATGTTTTAAGATTTGTATTGGTTCCCACTTATATAAGTGGAATATGATTACTCGAAAGTTTTTAAAGTTAATTGAAAAATAATAAAGAGTATGCAACTTAAAGAAAAACGTTAAATGTTTTCAATAAAAAATGTCATAAAAGCTCAGTATGTGTTAATAAACATCGTACAGACATCTATTGTTATCCATGATAAAAAACATATACAATTTAATTCATTGGTTATTAAAAAAAAGAATAATGTTTTGTATATAGTCTGTCTTTAAAGTTGTGTTTTTGAGAAACTTGTTATGTTGACAAAAATACAATTTAATTATTTCAATCAACTTAATTAAAAAAAACTATAACCTATTTAATGTAATAAATATTATTTTGGGATACTTATATACATTTTCTTAAAATGGGTTAAAAAAACAAAAATGAATAATATTAGACAACATTGTGAAATTGGTTTTGTGCTAAAAAATTAATAAATTCAAAAAAATAACTGAATATATTTAAAGAAATAAAATGTTTTGTTTTTATTGACAAAATTAACACAATAAAAAAGTATATATAGATAATAATTAGACCTTAAAACTTCAATGCTTGTTATATTCTTATTTGTTACAACTTTTTTTAGGTCGAATTGATTTTGCTTTGGGTGCAGGAAGTGATTGTTATAATTATGGCGATTTCAGACTTTACAAAAGAGACACGTGCAAAAGAACTGAAACTGGTTCGGTAATCTACACAGCGGACAAGACGGGGATGTATATGATAGAAAAGAAATTTGCTTCAAAAGATTGCTCATGAACACCAGCAGTTCAAGATGCAAAAATTGAATACAGCTTTATGATTCCGAAGAGAGTAGACTATGTTGGATTTACAAGTGACAAGAATGAAAATTGTCAATTAAAAGATAAGATTGATGGAGTTTACCATTCGTCGAGATGTAATCATGCACTTGGTTTCTACAAGTACGAAATTGCAACTGAAAACGGCAAACATTATTTAATGAAAAGATCATACAACACTGTTGACTGTCTTCCAGGAGACTTTGACAATAGCGATACGGAAAAGACTTTGTGTAATGTCTGTGTCAATGGAGTGTTAACTATGTGTTATGGCGTTGATGGTGTTCCAGCTTATGTGGACTTCACAAAAAACTGCTGATCAGAGCACTGATATAGAGCCGAGCAAAACCCCTGAAGAAAGCAAAACTCCAGACCAGAGTAATACTCCAGAGCAAAGCAAAACTTTAAAGAAAATAAAAGTGAAGGAAGTACTATTACCTCAGAGAATGGAGATCAAAATAATAATAACAATGGAGAAGATAACCCTTACAAGACTCTTGTCTTATTAGTCTTTATCATTGCTACTATGTTTTAATTCAATAAATTTATTTTTTTATGGTAACATTTTTATTATTCTATTAACACAACAAAAAATGATAAACAATAAAATTATAATATATAATAAATCATTATTTTATATAACAATTGTATTTTTACTAATAAAACTTTGGCTATTTAACTCTAAAATGCTCTCAACTATTGTTTTATTCTGAAAAAGTTCAAAAAATCATTGTAATTGCAATTAAATTATTTAATTAATAAAAATATTTATCTTTAACTTATTATTTCTGAAAAGAAATGATTTGTAATTGTCAGTATTGTTGGGACATGTTTTGCTGTTTTCACATCGTTTTAAGAAAAATTTTAAAACATAAAAACAATTAAAAAATAATTCTATGGTATTCATTATTATTTTAAGTTGATTATTTTAAATTAAAATACCAAATGTGGTGGCGTCAGTTGTCAAAATGGTAATTTGTTCAAAGTGTTTAAACATGTGAATTTACTTAAAAATAACAAAAGTTCCAAGTGTTCAGACAATTTAGTGAATAGTAATACCAAATGTCATCACCATTGAACAATTCGATTATTTACAACAGCAACGAATGAATGATGTACATAATATGGATAGTGGCATGCACTTGATGACATTAGAACTTTTTTGTTAGACTGCACTTTTTTATGAAATCATTTCAGGGATAACTGCAAATGTTGTAGTGTTTGTGGTATTCAGTGTATTAAATATTAATAGTATCATCTAACTAAATTTAGTTACACAACAACGAATAAAGGTTGTAATTATCCGTTCATAAAAAAACTTAAAAACAGTAAGACAAATTTGTTAAAAATTGAAGTGAATTTAGTGACTGTAATGATGACACGACTGGACTATACCGAGTTGATAAAAACAAAAAACTGGCTAAGGTACTTTAGGTATTATCCACACAAGGGAGTAATTATTAAACTTTTCCATGTTGTATATTGATTGGAAAATCGGGACATAATATTGAGACCTTAAACTGGAAAATGATTTGATATTCTCAACGAGTGCACCAGTATTAGTAAATGCAAACTACAGTTTTTGGAAGCGCAAGAAACTTAAATAAAATGATGATTGAAATTACGTTTCTAAAAAATGGTTTATAAACTCTTGATGTATCTGACATTATTCATCAAATTGTCTGGTGCATCACGCGTGTTTAAGCAAATAAACAATATTGGAATAAACATGCAAATGTATTTTAGGAACACTTAAAATTAGAATTCAAATTTCATGAAAATGTACAAGTTTGTTACTGTTGAAAATAGCCATGAAAGCCTGATGAATAAATGATAAAAGTGTACAAATGCGTTGTGTAATGTTGTGTTGGTCACAATAGTAACTTGAAAAAAAACAAAAAGACTTTGACGAAGAGAAAAATAATCTTTATTAATTGATTTGTTAACAATTATTTATTGTAAAAAAATACAACAAATTTTTAGTAATAATTTATTAATTGATATTTGCAAATTAAACTAAAAATTTGGACATGTTGTTTCAAATAGAATAAAATATAGTGATACATATACAGGTTTGGTAAAACCCCATCAAAATGTCTAAAATCCCCAAGCTTTAAAATAAATTTATTTCGACGTTATCCCAACAAGTGTGAAATAAAAATGGGTTAATAAAAAGTGTTATATAACAAAAAGAAAAACAAAATAAATAAATTATAACAAAAAATAGATATGTTTGTAATTGTTCAAAAATTGATTATAACAAGTCATGGTTCGTGTTTAACAGAAAGAAGTGACATCGAAAAACAAGTTTGTCGAATAAGTTTGAGAATTATGTTTGAATATTTATTAATAAATTTCGTTTTTTAATATAAAATATTTTGTAATTTTAATTAATTAATTGACGACTTAAGGATTTTGAATACTATCAAGGTTCAGAACTGATTTTTAACTTTTTAATAAAAACAAAAAACTAAAAATAAGTAACGTTATTAAAGATTCTTTAATACATTTTACATTATTAGAAATAGCCTATTTTAGGAACACATTCTAAAAATCCATTTTATTTTTCGAAATATCTTCTTTTTCCACAATGCCCCATTAAAATTGGCTTTATTCTTATATTAGATAACATTTACAAACTGGTTTTAATATTTAAATTTAACAATTTAATAAATTATTATTAATGAAAGACAAAATAATATGGATATATTGTTTCCAAACAAAAGATTTGGAATTTAGGAAATATTCATAAAAAATGTTAATGTAAATACATATTAATTTCATATATTTTTAATGTTAAAATCTCAATTATAATAATAATGAAGATTATGATTGATGATATTAATATTTACTATTTCTCGGTGTTTGTGAGTTCGATAGAGTGCTACTGTAAAATAGGTTGGGAAGGCTCTTGTACTGCCTGTGGTGCTACTCAAGCAACTGGCGTTGTGTTGGTTTGTTTTTATTACAAATGAACCAACTTATGATTAGCTTGAAATGACTCATGTACAAGTTGTAATGGTGGTGCAAACAAATTCAATGGGTGTGTACCAGGTTATTATCTTCAAAATGGTAAACAATCACCATGTTTTTGTTTGTTTTTATTTTATTTTGTTTTTAAAATGACGACCAGTGTGTTCAGACAATTTTGGAGAAAGGTGTTTAGAATGTGATAGAAATAGTGGGTGTAAAAAATGTGAAAATGGGTATCAGTTAATTAATAAAACAACACAAAAATGTGGAGATTTCAATGAAGGATGCACACTCTGTTCAAACAATATTTGTAGTCAATGTTTTGAAGGATATTATTTTGACACCATCAAAAATTTGTGTGTGAAGTGCAACAACAAATTTTCAAAATGCTCGCTTTGTTATGATAGTGAATGTTATGCGTGTGGCGATAACTCGACACTGTCAAACAAAGTCTGCGTTGAATGCCATCAAAGATTGGAGGGGTGTGTTCGTTGCAATGAAGTTACATGTTTAAAATGTCAACAAAATGGTTATTATTATAATAATGGATTTTGTAACAGTTTGTAATTTATAAAAAATGTTTATATTTAAATAATAATAACCCAAAGAGTGTTCAGTGAATTGTGAAAGTTGTCAAAACAAATAAACATGTGATGAGTGTAAAGGTGGTTATTACGTAAGTGGAGGTAAGTGGGTTTCATGTTCAACAAGAAATTGCAAAGTCTGTGATGATACAAAATGTGAGAGTTGTTTAGAAAACTCGTTTTTGAACAATGGGATGTGTGTATCATGCAAAAAGAAAATCCACAATTATGAGAAATGCAACAGTGATAACGTCGATACGCAATGTCTTTTATGTTCGAATGGGTTTTACTCGAATGGACCACAGTGTGTTAAATGCGACACGTCTTGTGGGGATGAGGGGTGTGTCAATGGGAAGTGCACCAACTGCAAAGACAATAAAATTTTAGACAAAAGTGGAAAGTGTGTTGAACCAACAAATTGTGACAGTGTTGACAACAGTAAATGTGCTGTCTGCAAAGACGGTTATTATTTGTACAACAACATTTGTGTTCAAAAAGCGTCAAACACGCCATGCAACTCAATTCAGATCACAGAGGATGTTTGTATCGGCAAAGAAGATGCTGGGTGTGATGAAGTTTTAAACGGCAAGTGTGCATCATGTCAGAGTGAATTGATACTCGACAATGGAATGTGTAAAAGCTGTTCCTCGTCAATACAAAACTGCACAAGTTGCTCCACTTCAAGCACTGAGAGCATCATGTGCTCTGTGTGCAGAGAAGGGTTCTTTCCAGAGAAGACATGTAAGTCATGCAAAATGATATATGGGTGTGAGTTGTGTGTGAACTTGCTTGTTGGCAATGTTGAAAGCACTCGAATTTGCACGAAATGTTTGAGTGGGTATTATTTGCAAGATGGTGAGTGTCTCCAAATCAAAAACTGTGTTGCGAACACAGAAAATGAGTGCACAAAATGTGAACAGAATTATATTATAGAAGAAGATGAACGCAAAGAATACACAACACAGCTGGGGTGTATTGCAACTGATGGTGTATTTTGCACGACGTGTTCTGATGGGTTTTACTTGTCACCAGAAAGTCGGCGATGTTTGTCGTGTTCAGTTGCGAGTTGCAGCAGGTGTGACACAACTGGCAAATGTGTTGAGCGCAACACAAGCAACTCATTGAAAGACGGGAAGTGTGAGAGGTGTGGGATTGTTGGGTGTTCGCTCTGCAACTCGACAGGTAGTGATTGTCTAAGTTGTGACAAAACTCATTTCTCAACAGCATTGCCAACATCACAATGCACAGAGTGTACCACAATAACGATTGGGTGTTTGGAGTGTACAAGTGAGCATTGTACAAAATGTCAAGACGGGTATTTCATAGACGCCACGGATCACAAATGCAACTCATGCAAAATGATAGAGGGGTGCACAACATGCTCACTTGAAACGGGGAAGTGTTTCAAGTGTTTGGATGGGTTTTATTTGGTGAGTGGACAATGCGCGTTGTGCAACAACACCATCCAAAAGTGTGGAAGGTGTTCGAGTGATTCAAATTGCAACAGCTGTAAAGAAGGATACTTTTTGGAGGAGAACATGTGCCACAAATGCAGTGAGATAGACGGGTGTGAAATTTGCGACGAATCAAGTCGTCTCTGTTTTAAGTGCAAAGACTATTACACCGGATTAATAGATGGAAATGGGTACAAATGTGTCGATTGTGAAACTACACACGAAAACTGTTCGAGTTGTTCGGTTGATGGAAATTGCACTGAATGCAAAAGTTCCCATATGTTAAAAGAGGGCGTTTGTGTTGAGTGCTCAACTTCAAATCCAAATTGCCACGTTTGTGCAACGACAAGTTCGAGGTGTTTGTCGTGTGGTGTTGGGTATGGTGTTGACAAGAATGGGCAATGTCAGAAGTGTATTGATGTGAATTGTCTTGACTGTGAGTTGTATGACAAATGTTCAAAATGCAAAGAAGATACAATTCTCACAGATGGGAGTTGTGTGAGTTGCAGTGTTGACAACTGTAAGACGTGCGACTTGAATGGGTTTTGTGTTGAGTGCAAATCCAGTTATTATCCAAATGATGGCGTTTGTCAAAGCTACGACTTGAGTTCTCTGAACTGTGTTGAAACGTCAACAACCAGAAACGAGTGTCTGAAGTGCAATATAAATTATTATTTGAAATTGGGAAAGTGCTATCCATGTAACTTGTTTGATGCCAATTGTGTTGAATGCAACTACAGCACATGTTTAAAGTGTTCAGAAGGAACATATCCAAATGGGGTTGGAAAGTGTTCGTCATGCAATAATATGGCAAACTGCACAAAGTGTCAACAAACAGCGCCTGTTTGCACAGAGTGCCTTTTACATCTTCTCCAAATGGGCAATTGGTAAATGGGTATTGCAAAGATTGCACTGTTGACGGCTGTGTGAAATGCAAAACAAAAACGTCTGGTAGTAATGTGTATCCTGTTTGTGAAATTTGTGCACCGGGGTACAACCTCAACTTGAATGACGAATTTTGTTATCAAAACACGATTGACAATTGTGAAGAGTATGAAACCAACACCAACACTTGTTTAAAGTGTAAAAATGGTTTTGCCCTCGATGGAACTACATGTCAAAGTTGTTCCAATACACTGACCAATTGTGAAGAATGCGCGTCAACATCGAGTTGCACAACGTGTTCAGAGGGATTTACTGTTGGCACAGACAACACTTGCCACACCTGTTCGGATGTGATGCCAAATTGTGATAAATGTTATTCTGACACTTCAAAATGCAAAGAATGTGCAGTTGGGTATTACGTCACAGAAGATTTGACATGTTCGAGTTGTGATTCGGTGATATCGAATTGTAGCGAGTGTTACAATTTGGGAGGTGTCAAATGCACAAAATGTAATTTTGAGTCATACATTGAAAATGGGAAGTGTGTCGAAGTGAAGGCAAACGAATTCAAAACATCAGAAACAACTTCGAAAGAGTGTCGCCTTCAAATACAAAACTGCTACAGCTGCAACTACACGACAAGTGATACCATCTTTGACACAACAGCAGTTGAGTGCAACAGATGTCTTGATGGGTATGGTTTTGTTTCAAGCACAACAAGAGTCTGTGAGATCTGCCACAACGAAGTTGACTCGAGTTCTGTGTGCATCACATGTGAAAATGGGTGCAAGAGATGTTTCATAAAAGACAACCCTACAAAAGAGCAGTCGTGTGTTGAGTGTGAGGATGGGTTTGCATTGAGGAATGGAAAGTGTCCTAAAATAGAAAACCGCGAGTATTGTCTTGATGAGTTGCACAATGTCGGCTGTGAGTCGTGCGCCAACTACTATTCGACTGTTGAAATTGGCACAAAGTGCTCGCCAAATAACAGAAACGCAAATTGCTCGTTTTACAACGAAAAGGGTGAGTGTTTTGAATATAACGCAAAACCAAAAGTGTCATCTTCAATAAAAACAGAAGACGCAAGTGATGTCAATTGCCAAGAGGGCGAATATCAAAAAGGGCACTGTCTGTCTTGTCGACGTGGTTTTGCCCCAAACTGATCAAGTCCACCAGTTTGTACAGAGTGCGGGTGCAGAGAGTGTAACAAGATCAACAAATGTAAAATATGTATCAACGAGTCAAACAACAACATTGGAATTTGCACAAGTGACAGCAACTGCATTTTAACAACAAACAACACTTGTTTAAAATGCACAGACAGTCATTACATAACAAATGGAAAGTGTGAAGTGTGTGGTCAGAATTGTGTGTTGTGTTCAAGTGACAACAAAAAGTGTTTGAAATGTGAAGATGGTTTTGTGCTTGTAAATGATGAATGTGTTTCGCTTAAAGAGTCAAATTGTGTTATTCTAAATAATGCTACAGGTCGTTGTGAGTTATGCAGAGAAGGGTTTGTGTTTGACGCATCAAATGAGTGCAAAGAAAACAGTATAGCAAATTGTCTGAATGAAAACTCAAACAAGTGTGTGAGATGTCTACCAACAACTCTTTTGGGCATTTCCAACAGCGAAACGGTTTGTTCTAAAAGTGCGACAATCAACAATTGTGAAATTCTAAGCTCAACTGGTTGTGTAAAGTGCGAAAGTGGATATTACATGGATGGGATAGAGTGTGAGCGATGTGATAAGAACTGTGAGCAGTGTGACACAAATGCAACGACATGCATATCGTGCTATTTTGGGTTTGTTCTCAACGTGCAAACGAGTCACTGTGACTCAAGTGAAGATATAAAATATCATGTGCGAAATTTTTGAGTGATGGAGGTTGTGCAATATGCCAAAACGGGTATTATTGGCAAGGGAGAAATTGTTACAAATGTGGCAATAATTGCACCACTTGTTCACAGAGCGAAGGCAATTGCCTGGCGTACAATATTGATAACGGATTTTATCAGAACGACACAAATGGGATTTATTGCATTTCGGTTAAAGAACTTGCAAACTGTTTGAAGTATGATATATTTGGGTGTGTTCAATGTGAAAATGGGTATTTCTTGGACAGAGGGAAGTGTGAGATTTGTGCCAAGAATTGTGAGTTGTGTGTGTCATCTGATTTTTGCCAAAATTGTGTTGATGATTATATTTTAACAAATCGTAAATGTGAGTATTACACTAATATTAAGTATTGTGCGAGTGCTACAAATGGTTTATGTTCAAGTTGCTCACCAAAATATGATCTCTCAATTGATAAATTAAGTTGTATCAAACATCAAAACAAGGCGCTTTCAATTGCACTTCCTGTTGTAATTACAGTCATTATTATTATAGTATTAATAGTCACATTGTTTGTGGTGTGTCTCTTGTACACATCGCATAAATTAAAGTAAATACTACAAAAGACCACATGCGAGTTTTCAATGAAAAAGTCGAACATCAACTTCATTGAATATTCTCCAGGAGTCATGTTGAACAAAACATCACTTAACTTCTCTGTTGACTTTGATACAGTTTGTTCACTTCCAATTGACAAACCAAGTCGTGACCTCCTCTGTGTTGGAAACAACTCGAAACACACTGTGAAAGTCCAATTGACATACAAAACGACAAGTGAAAAGTACACCATCAGGGTAACTCCATCTCTTGCAACACTGTCATCTGAGAAAGCTGTTGAATTTGAAATATTTGTAACACCTCTTTGCACATGTAGCATAAGCGAAACCATTGCAATTGTCCTTCTTAATATGTCGAAGGGTGAGCAGATATCTCTTAACTTTCCCATTAAATTTGAGAGTGAGAAGTCGAGTCACCTTGATGCCGACGAAGTAATTTGCGAAAAGAAGATAAGTGAAGGCTCCTTTGTTTACATTGGGAATTACATTGGAAACAAAGTAGCAATTAAAAAGATGAAAGAAGTCGAACACAATGAAGAGTCAATGGAAGAATTTGAAAAGGAAGTTCAGATGTTAGATAAGTTCCGTAGTGAATATGTCGTTCACTTCTATGGCGCCGTCTTTGCACGTAAAAAGTGTGTATGGTCACGGAATTTGCGACATATGGAAGTCTTCAAGACTTGATGAAACACAAAACTTCGAATGAAATTGACATGAAGTTAAGACTGAAATTTTGTCTTAACGCAGCAAACAATTTACTTTACTTACACGAAAATGGAATATTACACAGAGACATCAAACCAGACAACATATTAGTCTTTTCACTGGAGACTATTGAAAAGGTTAATGCTAAATTGACTGATTTTGGAAGTAGTAGAAACGTCAACTTGTTGATGACTAACATGACATTCACAAAAGGTATTGGAACACCAACTTATATGGCACCCGAGGTTTTGAAAAAAGAAAAGTACAAGATGAGTGCTGACATCTTTTCATTTGGAGTAACAATATACGAGTGTGTTGGGTGGTGTGAGGCATACCCAAAAGATGAATTCAAATTTCCATGAAAAATAGCTGAGTTCGTTATTTCTGGAAAGCGTGTGAACAAAAATCCATCAATGAATGATAACATTTTCAACATCATTTCTGAATGTTGGAAACAGGATATGAACAATCGTCCAAAAATAGAAGACGTTGTTCACACTTTAGAAGTGTGTTAAACATCAATTACAATTTATTTTTTCATAAATAATAATTTACTATTTAAAATGAGTTATAGCAGTTGCTATACTTTTAAATGCAAAATGTGACATAAAAATTTTAATAATTATAATTATAATATTTCTCTTTTATTATGTTTTTTATGTCAAAAATGATAAAAGGGTATTTTAACATTAATGTGGTATATTCTGATTATCCACTATTTTGAATTGGTTTGCATTTTATTAATAACAAGTTGTTTTTATTAAGTTTTTTGATATCAAAAATTACAAAAAAATTAAAAACAAATTGTATAAACATTTAATTAATTAATAATAATTTTAAAATGGTAATTATTTTTTTATAATTTAACAAAATATAATTATTAACTTAACCATAATTATAATTATTAACATTCAAATGTCAAACCTAAAAAATGATGGTTCAAAGACTGAATTAATTTACAAATATGTTTTTTCTTTTAATGGACAATTACCATTGTGAGCGCCTTTAAGCATTCGACTTGATGATGACTATGATGTATGCATTTTTAGTTTCACTGATATGCGAATAATCCACTTGTTAAATTTAGGCAATTGCCATGGTGTAACAACACCAACAGAATCCTTGGTTCATTATCCTCTTGATGCATAGTATTTACTACCATTTCCATGGTATTCATGTATTTATTAAAATGTGAAGTCTGTTAATATTTCTTTGGTCTCAGCCAAATAGAAGTTGGTATACTTAGATACTTGAATCCAGTCCTTTGATTGTTATTGTATAAGATGCTGTCCGAAGTGAGTTTCATTTGTATAGGAACAAACGGTGTATCTTTTTGTAATTGTTCGATCATACAAAAAATTGTGTTTAAATATTATTCTATGTTTTTTATTTTTGTTATTCCAGTGAAATAGAATATACTTTGAATTGACTTTTGTTGTTTGTCTTTTTTTAGGTAGAATATAATTTTTATTGTATTTTGCTTTTTATAATTAAAAAATTTCTGGTAATTAAGCCGAAAAACACATTGTACAGTAGAAAATAAATCGTATTATAGTACAAAAAAGAACAATAAATTGAACATTAATACAACTTTTAAATAATCGCATTTTTATTATTTATCTTACACATTTTCTTTTTTGAATAATATTTTTTTAATTATAATGTTATAATAAACTTTACATTGTTTTAAAAATCTATAAACTTCAATAATACCAGTTAATAATTATACAAATATACCTATTTTTATCCATTTTTAAAAAATTGTTCATTTTGGTTTTTGATTGAACGGAGTTATTTACATAAAAGTCAAAGCAAAAAAAACACATCAAATACATGCTTTGATAATTAAAAAACTATAATATTTGTATATTTAGAATTTGCATATTATTCATTTTGAGCATTTTATTTATGTGACTGGAATATACAATGGTTTTACAGAAGTTTATATAACCTATAATAATTCGTTTATATATAAAAATTATTTGTGTAATTTAGATATCTTTTATTACAAAATTCATTTATTATTTATTGTATTTTTTATTGATTGTTCAAAACAAAAATTAATACATTTTAAAAATGTAATATAATAAATTCAAATGTGTAACAACACATTCATTTTATTGTATATGTATGGCAATATCTTTCGTGTTGACAACGATATAATTATTGAACATAATAAGTATTTTTTTTAAATCAATTAATTGATTTGTTTTTATTTTTTTCATTTATGTAAACTTTAATTGAATAACAAAAATAATTTAAGAATGTCAAAATGTTATTTGTTTTTGTTTTTTCATCACAATTTAGATATAAATTATTTTGATTAATGGCAAATTTGCTCAAATGGTCAAGTTTTTGATTGTGTGAATAATTATATAGCAATTTAAATACTATTTTTTATTATTTTGAAGTATTTTAATTTTATTATTTAAAAAACCATTGAAATAGTAAATTATTTTAAGTGAGTTACTTTTATAAAAGTGAGTCAAAAAGCAAAACAGTGAGTCATTTTTTGACAAGTGAGTTTTAAAAGTGAGAAGCGAGTTAATAGCCATTAAAGTGTGCAAGTTAAGGTATAGTTCATTTATAATTTTTTTATTTAAAAAAATGAATCATTAATTTTTTGAAATTTTGAAAAAAAAAGATTATTTTTGGTTTAATTATTAATTATAAATTTAAAGTTATTACTAAACTATACTTTAATTTGCACACTTTGTATACAATAAATTAAGCGACAATTCGGAAAGCGAC